CCTGAGTAGCTGGGATTACAGGCACACATTACCACATTCAGCTAATATATATATATATATGTTAATTTTCTGTAGCGACAAGGTGTCACTATATTTCCCAGGCTGGTCTCAAACTCCTGAACTTCAGCAGTCTCTCTGCCACTACCTCTTAAACTGCTGGGGTCACAGGAGTGAGCCACTGTGCCTGGCACTTCCTGAAATTTAGAATGGAATACCAGATTTAGAAATTGAGGAGACTCTGTAAGACTCCTTAAGTAGATTTTAGAGACTTTGCTTAAGGTTGGGATGGAAGTAAGCTTGTCTGGCATTATTTTAATTATCTTATTATTAAATTTTAAATGTTATTTTATTTATTTTGCCTTTTTTTCTACAACTCTTGGTTCTGTGGCTCTTTTCGCATGATTTTATCTCTACTTTTTCCTTTCTCAAATATGTAACATATAATTAAAAGCACAAAGATTGCAATGTCTACTAATTAACTGCAGGTGTGTTCTTTGATGTATTGCTGGTACTTTGAAACTAGGAAGCTGAGAAACAATTAGGAATTTGTTTTAGAGGAGCAAGGAGACAAAAAAGAATTAAGGAGTAAAATCCTCAGCCAGATTTATCATTAGAAGGCTAGTGCTTCTGCGAGTACAAGAAGTTTTGTACATATTTTTGAGACAGGGTCTCAGTCTGTTGCCCAGGCTAGAGTGCAGTGGCACAGTCATGACTCAGTGCAGCCTTGAACTCCTGTGTTCAAGTGATCCTCCCACTTCAGTCTCCCAAAGTGCTGGGATTACAGGTATGAGCCAATATGCCTGGTAGGTTCAGGTTTCTTGAATTTCTTGATTAGTCTTTGTATCAGAGCACTCAGCCCCTTGCTCTGGTCCCCATTTCCTCAGGAAGAGTTGAGTTGAATGGGATTTAAATATGCTATTTTTATTTTTAGAGACAAGGCCTTGCTATATTGCCCAGGCTGAAGTGCAGTGGCTATTTCAGGTGTGGTCATAGAGCACCACCTCCTGGAACTCCTGGGCTCAAGCAATCCTCCTGCCTCAGTCTCCTGAGTAATGGGGACTATAGGTGTCCCATTTATAATATATTTTAAAAATCAATAAAATGTGACTCATTTAAAAATAATATTTATAACTAGAGATCTTATCTCAGTTTTCTAATTTCTCCTGATTTCAAGCTGGTGATATACTCTTTTTATTCTTTTAATTATTTATTTGCAAAAATAGAGAAGGGTTTTACCATGTTGCCCAGGGTTGTCTTGAACTCCTGGGCTCAAGCCATCTGCCCACCTTGGCCTCCCAAAGTGCTGGAATTGCAAGCATGAGCCCCAGCACTCGGCCCAATGATATACTTTTATTTATTTAGAGACGAAGTCTTGCTCTGTCACCCAGGCTGGAGAGCAGTGGTGTGATCTTGGTTTACTGCAACCTCTGCCTACCAGGATCAAGTGATTCTTGTATTTCAGCCTCCCAAGTAGGTGGACTACAGACGTGCACCACCACGCCTGGCTAATTTTTGTATTTTTAGTAGACACAGGGTTTCACCATGTTGGCCAGGCTGGTCTTGAACTCCTGGCCTCAAGTGATCTGCCCACCTTGGCTTCCTGATGTGCTGGGATTACAGGTGTGAGCCACCGCGCCTGGCCTCAATGATATACTTTGAAAGCAACATTATAAGTCAGCATTAAATTGAAATTTCGATTGAACTGAAGCAGGTAAATCCTTTGTTTTAATTAGTACTTTATGGGGTGATGTTGTAACAACCTAAAGGCCTTATGTATTAAGATGTGTAAGGAAATAATTTTTTCCCCCCTATTCTTAGAACCAATGCTCTGTGCTTACCCAGTGGAGGAATTCAAGTGTAGTTTTCAGGGGCTGAGCTCTCCTGGTGTAAGCTGCTCTGTGGCAGATGCAGGTTTTGTGGTGCCAGCCTGAGAACCAGCCAGAGATTCTCACCACGTCAGCTCTGCAGAGAATCCTAGGCTGTGAATCCCATGCTATATCTTGGAACAGGATAATGGATTCTGATCCGCTTTGTCTCCCAAGGAACAGAGCACCTGGAGATTGTGACTTCTGCCTCTAAGAATAGTAGAGAAGTCTGCCTCTAGCTGCAGCCGTTACTGTCTGTTTTGGCCACACAATAATGTATCTAAGGTGTAGAAACCCACTCTAGAGCAAACAAGATGGGTGAATGGATGAATGTTTTTGTAGGAATGCAACGGGAGCCTTATGAATACAGGGACTATGATTGGGTCAGAAAATCTGGAGAACTTAAAGGAGGTAGCTCAGGAACAAAACTGACCTGGGTTCAAATCTGACTCTGCAACTTACTAGTTGTGTAATCGTAAACAAGTCAGTTCCATAGCCCTTTATTTTTTATTTTTATTTTAAATTTTATTTATTTTATTTTTTTGAGACAGAGTCTTACTCATTCACCCAGGCTGAAGTGCAGTGGCACAATCTCCGTTCACTGCAACCTCCACCTCCCAGGCTCAAGCAATCCTCCCACCTCAGCCTTCTGAGTAGATGGAACTACAGGCACATGCCACTACACCCGGCTACTTTTTGTGTATTTTGTAGAGATGGGGTTTTGCCATGTTGTTCAGGCTGGTCTCAAACTCCTGAACTCAAGCAATCAGGAGTTCAGGAGTTTGAGACCAGCCTGAACAACACGGCAAACAACATACCGACCTCGGCCCCCACCCCAAAGTGCTGGGATGATAGAAATGAGCCACTGTGCCTGGCCATTTTATAGCCCTTTAAACTCTTTTTCCCCCTTAACTGTACTAGGGAAAGTATTAATTTCTTCCCCCTTAATCTGTGAGGGTCAGATGCCATGTAAAGTGGCTAAATGTGGTGGCTAGCAAGGAGTAGGTGGCCAGCAATATACTTTAAAAATGACTCCAGTCCTCTAAGCCTGGCTCATGGGTCATTCCCAGAAATAGAAAAGATAGACAGAGGAGATGATTTAGGGAGTAGGAGATGAATTAATTTTGGTTATGTTGAAATTTTCATCTGAACAAGATAGTCCAGTAGGAAGTTCCCACAAATTGATATGCATCTGGGAAAGAAGCCAAGGCTGGCTAGAGAATCAGATTTGAGACCCATCCAAAGAGAAATGATAGTTACATTAATGAGACCAGCGCTGCTGAGAGTACTGAGGCAGATTAAATGGTCTATGGGCAGACACACATCTAAGGGAGAGAAGAATGAAAGAAATAAGCAAAGGAGTGGCCAGACAGTTGAGACAATGAGAAACTAGCACAGAAGGGTGGAGAATATTTACAGCTGTTATTTGGTGATTTTAAAGTTTTTGCAGATGTGTTGTTTTGTCGTTATCTTAGAATTGGTGTCATTAGAGAAGTTTTATAATAGTCATTAGAAAACTGTAAGCTGCATTTGTGATTTACACATTAAGTTAAAAGAAATAAAAAGTCACTTTCTGAAACTAGAACGACAAACACACATATATACATGTATGAGAAATTATTATAATATTTGAAAAGGATAGTTGTGAAAATATTTTGAAATGTATGATATAAAACCTTGCCCTAATTATAGTCCTGGGAGAATATGTAATGTGGTGTGATGAGGACAGCACAAAAATTAGAATAAGGCAGTCTTGGGTTCAAATCCTGTGGCCTTAGAAAATTCATGCTTGAGGTGCCTCCATTTTTTTCTCTAATATCCCTAAAATTTCATCACTAAATTAATAGCAGCATATATTGTATGATAATTAAATAAGACAATGTATATGAAGTACGTTGAACAGTTAGTAAATGTTACCACACAATTATTGTTTCTGTGGTAGGTGTTGATTATCTTTTGCATATCTTCTTGTGCTTTAGTTTTAACGCTAGGTGGCAGCAATGCATTCTTAATCAATTAAAACAACACTTGCTAACTTTCTGGCATAGAAGAGATGGGTGAAGCCTTACCTAATAGGAAGATTAGTGTGTAGGACACCAGCAAAGCAGGGCGGAAAAGATAAATAGAGATAGCAATAGAGATCAGTATAGAGACATCAATAAAGATTAAATAGAGGGAGGGAGGAAGAGAGAGAGGAAGACATTTTAGAAATAATTTGATATTTTTCAAAGGATATACTGAAATAGTTATTGTGGGGGAAACTACATCCTTCTACCTTCTAGAAAATTGTATCATTTTAAAATGCATATGGGTAAGTGGCAGGTTTCGTGTATTTTTTTTGTGTTGACAACGTTAAGGATCCTAAGTGGTCCTGGATGAGACTTAGCAAAATAGCCACATAGCAAATGTCTGTAAAGTGTAATATGTTTTACAGTTCATTTTAATTTTAGTCTTTGCCTTAATTATAAAAGTATGACCATTTTCCTCTATATAAAACATTCCTTCTACAATAAGATATTTAGTGGTATCTATTGCTATGTAATGCTATCTATTGCTGTGTAACCATTATCCCAAAAGTTGGTGGCTTAAAATGAGGAAATAGTTTTGTTTTTCTTGAGACAGGGTCTCATTCTGCCACTCAGGCTGGAGCGCAGTGGTGACCACAGCTCACTGCAGCCTCGACCTCCTGGACTCAAAGGATCCTCCTGCCTCAGCCTCTGGAGTAGTTGGGGCTATAGGTGTGTACTACCATATCCTGCTAGGTTTTTTCTACTTTTTATAAAGTTGGGGCCTCACTAGGGTGCCCAGGCTGGTCTTGAACTCCCAGGCTCAAGTGATCTTCCTGTCTCAGCCTCCTATAGTGTTGGGATTACAGGCAAGAGTCACCATGGCCAACTATGATAAACATTTATTATCCTGTATTTTCTGAGAGCCAGGAATCCTGGGGTGACTTAGCTGGGTGATTCTGGCTCAGAATTTCTCATGAAGTTTCAGCCAAGACCTCAGCTGGGGCTAAAGTTACCTAAAAGTTTGACTGGGCCTTGGAGAATCTGCTTCTGAGATGGCTCAATCACATGGTTGGTGGCAAAGGCCTCAATTCCATATGAATTTTTTCTTTCTTTCTTTTTTTTTTCCGAGCTAGCTGAGATTTTATTTTGGACCAAAAAAAAAAAAGCAATTGAATTGTTTTGTAGCTGGAGGCATGGACAAGGGGGGTCCCCAGGCAGTAAACTCCCCGCTGGTGGGCTGAGGGCTAGGGCTGAGCGTCAGGTGGGTCTCCTGTTCCCTGCGTTCCCCTGCACAGCAACCTCCCTCCTGGGCTCTGGGGCAGCCTCAGGAGGGGCAGGCTGGGAGGGGCTGTTGCAGCTGTTCACTTGGGCAGGACGTCAGAGGACTCAGACACCAGCCTCCCATCGCGAGTCTCGATCTTCTTCACAACCACAGCCTTGGTGGAGCTGGTGTGGCTGAAGGAGCTGGAGCCCGCGCCAGAGCCAAAGCTGGAGCCCAGGCCGTAGCTGAGGCCGGGGCTTGTGAGGCCCCCATAGGCAGAGCTCAGATCACCTGCATAGCCGCTGGTGGTCTTCGTGTGGATACTCATGTTCTGCATCCCGGACTCCAGCTGGCTCTCCTCGCCCTCCAGTAGCTTGCGGTAGGTGGCGATCTCGATGTCCAGGGCCAGTTTGACTTTCATCAGCTCCTGGAACTCACGCAGCTGCTTTGCCATGTCCTGCTTGGACCGCTGCAGGGCAGATTCCAGCTCCTGCTGCTTGGTATGAGCATCCTTGAGTGCCTGCTCCCCGCGATGCTCAGCATCTCTAATGGCAGCCTCCAGGGAAGCCCTCTGGCCTTTGAGGCCCTCAATCTCAGCCTGGAGCCGGCTGATGTTCTGGTTCATCTCGGAGATCTCAGTCTTTGTATGCCACAGGTCATCCCTGTGCTTCCCAGCCAGCGTCTGCAACTCCTCATACTTGATCTGGTATATGCTGTCTGCCTCAGCCCGGCTGCGGTTGGCGATCTCCTCGTACTGCAATGATGCTGACCTCGGCAATGATGCTGTCCATGTCCAGAGAGCGGCTGTTGTCCATGGACAGCACCACAGACGTGTCAGAGATCTGGGACTGCAGCTCCTGGATCTCCTCTTCATACAGCTGCCTGAGGAAGTTGATCTCGTCAGTCAGTCCTTCCAGGCAAGACTCCAGCTCTACCTTGTTCATGTCAGCTTCATCCACATCCTTCCTCATGAGGACAAATTCATTCTCCATCTCTGTACGCTTATTGATCTCTTCCTCATACTTGTTCTTGAAGTCCTCCACCAGCCCCTGCATGTTGCCAAGCTCCGCCTCCAGCTTCAGCTTCTCCTGGCCCAGAGTCTCCAGCTGCCGCCTCAGGTTGTTGATGTAGTTCTCACACATGTTGTCTATGTTGCTCCTAGCCGTTTTCTGCTGCTGCAGGAGGCTCCACTTGGTCTCCAGCATCTTGTTCTGCTGCTCCAGGAACCGCACCTTGTCGATGAAGGAAGCAAACTTGTTGTTGAGGGTCTTGATCTGCTCCTTCTCCTGGGTACGCACGGCCTGGATGTTGGGGTCCACATCCACCTTAATGGGGTTCAGCAGGTTCTGGTTGATGGTGACGGCGGTGATGCCTCCCATGCCTATGCCGCTGGCCCCAGAATAGCCTGCACCCAGGCCACCCCGGAAGCCACTACTGCTCACTCGGGAGAAGCTCAAGCGGGCACTGGGCCCACTCGTGAAGCAGCAGCTGCTGAAGGCCCCGGGGCCAGAGGTGGACACCTTGTAGGACTTCTGGGTCACCCTGATGGACATGATGGAGGCAGGAGTGGAGGCAGGAGGGCTGAACTAGGGAGAGATTCCAGAAGGAGCGGAGAAGCTGCTTCTTCCCATATGAATTTTTTCATAAGGCAGGTTGACTGACCTTTCAAATGGCAGCCAGTCTCTCCTAGGGTGAGTGACCCAAGAAAGACTGCAAGAAGGAAGCCACAGTAACTTTTTTTTTTGACTCTTTCTTTCATCCAGGCTGGAGTACAGTGGCACAATCTCGGCTCACTGCAACCTCTGCCTCCCGGTTCAAGTGATTCTCCTGCTTCCACCTCGAGTAGCTGGGATTACAGGCACATGCCATCATGTCCAGCTAATTTTTGTGTTTTTAGTAGAGAAGGGGTTTCACCATGTTGGCCAGGCTGGTCTCGAACTCCTGACCTCAAGTAATCCACCCACCTTGGCCTCCCAAAGCACTGGGATTACAGGTGTGAGCCACTGCCTGGCCGCCACAATAACTTTTATGACCTCATCTCAGAAGTCATACACTGTCCACCATATTTGTTCACAGTGAGTCACACAGGAAATAACTAAACACAATTGTCAGGAGTTTTATAAATATGCTGGAAATGGAGTTCCTGTATACAGAAATCACAGGCCTGACCTCCTCTGATGTGGCCCTGGATCTATTTCTACATTTAGAAAAAGAACACGTCATGGAACCATGAGGATCTTCACTTCTCAGGTGGCCTGTTCCCTATCTGGATATGACCTAAAATAACTTCTCTGTCTCTGTTTTTTTTTTTTTCAAAATGGGATTTAACCATGTTGCTCAGGCTGGTCTTGAACTCCAGACCTCAGGTGATCTGCCCGCCTTGGCCTCCAAAGTGCTTGGATTACAGGAGTGAGCCACCACGCCCGGCCTCTGTCTCTGTTTTTTCATCTCTGAAATAAAATCACCTAAGAAAGTGCCTTTCAAATTATTTAGACCTATTTTAAGGACTGTATTTTATGTTGAGCCTGAACACACACACACACACAGACACACACACACAAACATACATATGTGTATATGTATATGACAGAAATGGAAGTGACACAAAACAATACCTTCTTACACTTATTTGTGTGATGTACTTTATTTGCCATCCTCTGCTAACTCATTTTTAAAAATTCAGGCCAAAATCTACTACACTGGCCTCACAGTCCATTGAGGGTTCCAACATTCTTTGTGGAAAAAAACACCCACCATCACTCCTTGGTGCTCACTTTTCATTGGTACTAGAGCAGAAATGCTGAAGAGCAAGCAAGTCCTTCTAGTTTCTGGGAGGCACAAAAGCACCTTTGAAATATGGGTCAGCCCTGCAAGCCTATTCTAATTAGAAGGATCAGACGTTGCATGTCAGGTGGAAAGGTTACTTTGTTTATTTTATTTTTTTTCTTCTGAGATGGAGTCTGGCTCTGTCACCCAGGCTGGAGTGCAGTGGGGTGATCTCAGCTCACTTCAACCTTCACCTCCCGCGTTCAAGCGATTCTCCTGTCTCAGCCAGGCCAGACTCGAACTCCTGACCTCATGATCCTCCCGTCTTGGCCTCCCAAAGTGCTGGGATTACAGGCATGAGCCACCGTGCCTGGCCCATTCACTGTGCCTGGCACATCTGTGTTTATCTTTAAAAGTTGGCTTTTTCATTTGCCACGTGACAGTCCAATTTCATGGGCAGTCCTTTAGCCACCCCGAACCCATTGGTCAGCTTCACAATTGGAATAATGAGTAGTATCCCTCTTGTCTATTTCACAAAGTTATTATTAGGCTCACAATCAATTAGGTACTTATTGCGTGGTCGAAAAATCTCAGGGCAGGATCTTTAATCTTCACAACAACCCTCTAAGAATATATAGCATTATCCTTGTTTTATAGATAAGAAATTGAGGCATAGAGCAGTGACATATGCGAAATCTTACTGTTAAATCTTAAGTGGCAGAGCTAGAATTCCAAACCAGTTCCAACACCAAAACCCTCACTCAAAATGGAAATGTAAGCTCATTTCATTTGACCATAAGGGTTGACCATCTGATGTATTCAGATGAAGAAATATGGAATCACTATAGTGTAATAATGGCTTTAGAAACTGATCCTGTCTTGCTTTGAACACGAACACCTAAAACATCACACGTGGCCTTGAGCTCACTGCCTTCACCCACTGCAGCGTGAGAATACTGACAACAGGGCTTCGGTTCCCGGTTCCCCAGATGTCAGCATCCAGGACTGGGCGCATTTCTTTAAATGGCGCCCCCAAAAGAAGTCCAGATCGCTTCGATGCAGCCCCTCTACGTTGGAAAGCAACGTACATTTCCCAGGAAATGTCTGGCTTACAGCCCTCTCTTTGGCTAGTTGGCTGGGTTCCGAGAGTGCGGCCTGCCCGGGCCTAGGCACCGGAGAGCGGACCCCTGTGGGGTGGGATGGGCCCCACAAAGCCCTTTATTGAGGTTCCGGCGTGACGTGGGGCGCCCCGGACGCGACGCCCGCCGGGAGCGGGAAGGAGGCCGCGGGGCGGCTCCGAGGTGTGCGCGCCGCCATGTGCGCTTAGCCCGGCGCGCTCTGCCCTCCGTCCCTCGGCTGCGACCCTCCGAGCCCCTCGAGCCCCGGTAACTAGGCTGCCGGCGCCGGCTCGCAGGGACCCGTCATCCTGAAAGTCCAGCGCCTGCAGCGCGTTCCCGGCGAGTCGGAGGCCGGGTGGGGCCCCTGCGTGGGAAGCAGCCGAGGCTGAGGCCGGTCCCTTCGCCGCGGGCTCTGCGGGCGGCCGAGGCCCCCACCCGTCCCGGGAACAGGTTCCTCTCGGGCCCTGGGCGTCCGGGGAAGGGAAGGGGACTCGCCCGGAATCGGCGTGCAAGGGCGGGGGCGCAGGAGTGGTGCTGAGAGTTCTGAATGAGGGAAAACCTGGGAAGGACTGTGCTCCGCTGAAAGTGCCTGGGCCGGGGCGGGCGGAGCCTTTGGTAGCTCCTCACGGCCACGATCAGACACATGTTGGCACCGCGGTGCTGGAGCTGGTCTGGCAGGCTCAGGCAAGGGCAGAGAGCGCGACACCGAAACTTTGTCTCAGGATGACGAAACTTACCTGGCATTTTCTCCTTATGCGGTGGCAAGAAATGAAATGAGTCCATGGAAAATGAACGAGAACACGGTTTTACATTTGAGGCTCAAGTTCAATGAACACTTACTTATTAAGGACTTTCTGGCGTTCAGATATGCTTTTCCTATTATTTGACTACAAATTAAATATTCACATAAGAGGCATTAATTAAGTGCGTTGCAATAATTTCAGGTAAAGTGAACAGAGTTATCCGTGACATTCCATCAGGCATCTACGTACGGAAATCGTACTGTAAAAACTCGACATGGCTTATGGATTGCCAAGAAAGAACACAGTGAAAACCATTTTGCGGGGCTGTTGTTATAATGTGTAAGTGTTTTTTTTTAATCAGGGTAATCATTGATTGGGGTGGGGAGTGTCTTTGCTAAATAAAAGGACTGGAAACTGTGCTCCTCTGAGATACTGGGTTATAGGAAGTATTTTCGGATGTCTGGGTTCTGATTTTTTTTTTAAAAGGCAGCTGCCTTTATAAGAGTAAGTTAATTATCTTACTTGATCTTCACAACACAACACTTTAAAGTGAGAAAATTGAGGTTCAGGAAAGTCTGAACAAAGTTACAGTTCTTTTTTCTTTTTTTTTTTTTAGACGGAGTTTCCCTCCTGTTTCCAAGGCTGGAGTGCAATGGCGTGATCTCGGCTCATCCGCAACCTCCGCCTCCTGGGTTCAGGCAATTCTGCTGCCTCAGCCTCCCGAGTAGCTGGGACTACAGGCTGTGCCACCATGCCCAGCTAATTTTTTTTGTATTTTTAGTAGAGATGGGGGTTCACCATGTTGACCAGGATGGTCTCCATCTCTTGACCTCGTGATCCACCCGCCTCGGCCTCCCAAAGTGCTGGGATTACAGGCTTGAGCCACCGTGCCCAGCCAAAGTCACAGTTCTGTAGTAAGGAAATGCCAGGGCTAGATTCGGAATCTTCTTGTTCTACGACAGCGTTTTCTGCTTCCACCTACATCTTTTAAAAAACTTTGTTTAGATTCTCCACATCTTCCAGATAAAAGCTCAGGTGTCAGATGTATCTTAACAGAGCACCTAATTAGCTGGTACAAAGGGTCGGTTTTGAAACCTGTATACTTTGGCAGGCAGCAGATGGACAACACATGCTTTCCAATCAAGAAGACCTGTACTCTCATCCTGGCCCTGCCCCTGGCTCCCTAAGTCCACCCCTCTTTGTACCTTGACCTCTGCATCTGCAGGATGCATATAACAATTGGCTATGCAGCATGGACTATAAATGAAGTTGTGTAGGTAAAGTACTTGCACATTGCCTGTCATCCAGTGAACGCATAGTGAGCACATGTTGCAACCGTATAGTAGCTCCACTCTGTGGTATCATAGGGCAATCTTTTCTTTTCTTTTTTTGAGACAGTGTCATGCTTTATTGCCCAGGCTGGAGTGCAGTGACACTATCTCAGCTCATTGATGCAACCTCCGCCTCCCAGGTTCAAGAGATTCTCCTGCCTCAGCATCCCAAGTAGCTGGGATTACAGGTGCCTGCCATCATGCCCAGCTAATTTTTGTATTTTTAGTAGAGACAGGGTTTCACCATGTTGGCCAGGCTGGTCTCAAACTCCTGACCTCAAGTGATCCTGCCTCGGCCTCCCAAAGTGCTGGGATTACAGGCATAAGCCACCATGACTGGCTGGTCTTTTCCTTTCTTAAATGTTCGATTTTGTTCTGTTAATCTCTCTGTCACAGCTTATGACATATTTACCATTAGGCGTCAACTGAATTTGTCTTTTAAACAATATTCTATGAAGTAAATGAGAATTCCCTGTGGAGTTATAAAACCAGAGCTATAGGAAATTCAGAGAAAACTCACGGTTGCATTTTGTTTAGTTTTGTCAGTTTAGTATGTGTTTAGACCTTGAACTATAGGCAAGTACCATTATACTAAGTATCATTACAAATGTAATTTTTAGTGAAGATACTCCTATTTCTGGAGAACGATTTAAAGCACTGATTCCATGGTTTTGGTTATGCAGAATTTTACATCATGAACAATCTCTGCAACACCAGGGCTTTCTCTTTCATTCTCTCAAGGAAGTATTTGATATCATATTATTTATAAGAATAGCTAAGTCAAGAGGAACAGAATGGTAGTAGTGCTCTTCGGAATTCATTTGCCAAGGTAACTCCTTACCTGGGGCTTTTTGTGACTTGGTGTTTTTAAAAGATTGAGAAAACTATAACACTGAAAACTTTCAAGCAGTATAGAAGCATATGACAGGAAAATAAAAATGCTCTCTCTCCCTATTCCCATTCCTAGTCCCACTCAGAGGAAAAATGTCTTACATGTTTTCTAGAATTTCTGTGTCTACACAAGACACACACATGTATACATACACATATGTCTTTTTAATTTTTTTTTTTTTTTTTGCCAATCAGTTTGAGCTTATGAGGTTGCTTGGGTTAGCCTTGAACTCATGACCTCACCTTCGCAAGCGCCATGACCTCCGGCAGGAGCCACTTTGGACCCCACGTATGTCTTTTTAACACAGGAAATGGTATTGAACTTTGCTTTGCCCACCCCCGTCCAATATGTCTTGCATAGCCTATTAGGTAAGAGCACTGATTCTGGAGTCTGACTTCCTAGGTTCAGATCTCAGCTTCACAACCAACAGCTTTGTCACCTTGGGCAAGTTGTTCTCTGCTCTGCAGTTTCCTTCCTTCCTTCCTTCCTTCCTTCCTTCCTTCCTTCCTTCCTTCCTTCCTTCCTTCCTTCCTTCCTCCTCCCTCCCTCCCTCCCTCCCTCCCTCCCTCCCTCCCTCCCTTCGTTGCTCCCTCCCTCCCTCCCTTCCTTCCTGGCAGGGTCTCACTCTGTCATGCAGGCTGGAATGTTGTGGCACAATTGCATCTCCTGGGCTTGAGCAATCCTCGCTCCTCAGCCTCCTGAGTAGCTGGGACCATAGGCACCCGCCACCACGCCTGGTGGATTTGTTTTATTTTTGGTAGAGATGGGGTCTCACTTCGTTGCCCAAGCTAGTCTCAAACTCCTGTCCTCAAGTGATCCACCTTGGTCTCCCAAAGTGCTGGGATTACCAGCATGAGCCACCACATACAGCTGGAGATCTTTAGTTTTTGTCGAGACAGGATATCACTCTATCAACTCAGTGCAGCCTCAGGCTTAGCCTCCTGGGCTCAAGTGATCCTCCTGCCTCACCTTCTTTTGTAGCTGGAACCACAGGCATGCACCACCACCTTCGGCTAATTTTTTGATTTTTTGTAGAGATGAGATCTCATTACATCGCCCAGGCTGGTCTTGACCTCCTGGCATCCAGGGAGCCTCCTGCCTCAACCTCCCAAAGTGTTGGGGTTATAGGCATGAGCCAGCATCCCAGCCGGCTCTTCAGTTTTCTAATCTATAAAATGAAGATAGTAGTAGCACCTGTCTCTTTCATAGGGTTGTTGGAGTAATTACATGAGTTCATGTGTGTAAATTGCTGAAAACAGTGCCCAATAGTAAGTGCTGTATAAACATTAACTGTTTTATTGCTTATCTTTCCAAATCAATAGTCCTTATTCTTTCATTACATGTATGTACCACAGTTTGTTTAATCAGGCTCTTCTTGATAAATATTAAGGTCAGGTGATTTTCTTTATTTCTTTTTTTTTTTTGAGATGGAGTTTTGCTCTTGTCACCCAAGCTGGAGTGCAGTGGTGTGATCTCGGCTCACTGCAACCTCCAACTCCTAGGTTCAAGCAATTCTCCTGCCTTAGCCTCCCAAGTAGTTGGGATTATAGACACCTTCCACCACCCCCAGCTAAGTTTTGTATTTTTGGTAGAGATAGGGTTTCACCATGTTGCCCAGGCTGGTCTTGGACTCCTTGATCTCAGGTGATTCACCTGCCTTAGTCTTCCAAAGTACTGGGATTACAGGCATAAGCCACCGCACCCAACAAACGACACTTCAATGAACTTTCTTATACATTTTTGTAACTTGTTCAGGTACATCTATAATAATTGTAGACTCTAAGTCACTCCTGAAAGTTAGATGATGAAGTATCGGGAAGCTGGAACAGGCAAACAAAGGGGTGACATGGTCACTTCCCCTGCCTTGGCCAAAGCAGGTCTTTCACTTTCTTCATGCATATGAGGCTGAACTCATATTGACTGCAGATGAGAAACATGTATTTGATATCAAATTTCAGAATTAGGTGAATGAGAACAATTTTTAAACATTCATAGTGGTTATATAGCAGTTATTTTGAATGTTGTAGTTTGGAATTTCATCCCCATTCCCAGATTGCACACTCAAAGCCTGGCCTGTGCCAAGCACTGGGCTCAGTGTATGATTATGTGCTTCTTTCCTTATTTAATATAAATATATATATATAATATAACTATATATATATATATAAAATATAACTATATATATATATATATATAGAGAGAGAGAGAGAGAGAGACAGAGTCTTGCTCTGTCGCCCAGACTGGAGTGCAGTGGCAGAATCCTTGTTCACTGCAGCCTCCGCTGCCTGGGTTCAAGCAATTCTGCTTCAGCCTCCCAAGTAGCTGGGATTACAGGTACCTGCCACCATGCCCAGCTAATTTTTGATTTTTTTTCTTTTTTTTTTTTTTAATTTTGTATTTTTTTTTTCTTCTTTTTTTATTGTATTTTAGGTTTTGGGGTCATGTGCAGAGCATGCAATACAGTTTTTTTCTTTTTTTTTTTTTTAGTAGAGATGGGGTTTCACTATATTGGCCAAGCTAGTCTCGAACTCCCGACCTCAAGTGATCAGTTGACCTCGGCCTCCCAAAGTTCTGGGATTACAGGGGTGAGCCACTGTGCCCAGTCGATATGACCACATTTTTATGAGTTACAAAAGACTCTGGAGCTTACAGTTCTTATCTACATCCTCTTACATGGAAAGATTGGATTGACTCCATGAAGGCTGAATCAAAGTTCCTGGCATAATTTCTGGGCATTGTTCAGCATGATCTTCACATTAGCTAATATAAATCTCCCTCTCCTGTCTGGAAAATTCTGAATACCTCCCCCCCACCCCACCACAAACCAAAATGTCTCATGGCAAATGGAACTGAGAATTAATGTCTTCTGCATCTCACATAGTAGGCGTTTAATCAATATTCATTGAATGAATAATGAATTTTTGTCCCAGACAGGAACCTTGGGATCTTGCAGTGCTTACAAAGACCTGGTACATGAACCTAGCCAATATCAACTTGCCTTTCTTGGAAGAAATTTCATTTGGTGGTTCTGTGCAGCTCACAAAATGTAACCCTGTTAAAGATGGACTGCTCCCTTCTGTAGAATGTATGTTCTTTAAGGTCTGCTTTCCTAAGTTATTAATTGTGTGTGTCATTTGCTTATCAGAGAAATGTTTAAATCTGTGTGTTTATACCCATGCCTCCTATCTTTGTAGCTGTGTCATCTAGTTTATTATTCAAGAATGTGGATTTTGCTGTATGATATTCAGTTTTGAGTTAGTTATGCCTGATGAAAAATGTCAGATTGTTTTGTTTATTTTCTTTTTCAGCCATCAAACTTGAAAGGGAGTATGAAGTGAAGCGTCTCTGTAAACTTAAATGTCAAGAAAATACATCTGAGGAAATTCAGCTTCTTCTAAGGGAAAGGCCAGCTGGTTTGAGAAGACCTCTTCCATCTAAATTACAGTCCGCTCATGATTGAATCTGTACTCTGTCTCTTGCCTCCAAAGGGATGAAGGTCTGTGGACCTTTCACTGTGTAGTTTGGGGCAGATATTTGAATGCCCGCTGGCAATGGGCCACCGCCCACAGCTGTGGGTTGGTGGCCAGCTCTGACAGATCTTCTGAGTCCCTGACATACTCTTGTTCCCTGTGTCACAAGTGACAGCACTGTAAGTAGATGAAAATGCATTTGGAGTTGAGTCATTTGAGCTATTCATTTTAATTTTTGTAAAATTGCACTAAAAGGAGAGGAAACTCCTTGTCGGCTGCATTGTTTTCAAGAGACATTTTGAATACGCATCTTTGAATCCCAAGGAGAGACCAAAAACAAGGCAAGAGAGAAATTCTCTTAAAAATGATAAACTGTTGGTTTAGAGAGAAAAAAACGATAAACTGAAGCATTTTGTTTGGTTAAGAAAAATGATAAACTTCATTTTTAGTTCCTCTCTAGTTTCCAATTTTCAATGAAACATCATTGAATATTCACATGTGGTTCTTTAAAGTAGCAAGTAGAACTTACTTTGTTTTTGTTCTCCTAAAAAAATTGTCAGGCTGGGGGTCATGGCTCACACCTATAATCACAGTACTATGGGAGACTGAGGTGGGAGGATCACTTGGGCCCGGGAGTATAGGGCCAGCCTGGCAACATAGAGAGACCTGGTCTCTACAGAAAATTAAAAAATTAGCTGACCATGGTGCTGTGTGTCTGTAGTCCCAGCTACTTGGGAGGCTGAGGTGGGAGGAGCTCTTGGGCCCGGGAGTTGGAGGCTGTATTAAGCTGTGATCATGCCTCTGCACTCTAGCCTGGGCAGCAGAGTGAGAATGTGTCTCAAAAAAAAGAAAAAAAAAAAAAAGTCAGTCTTTTTCCTTCTGCCTAATTTCTTATTTTCTATCTGGAATGACCCTGAAGCATAAGGAACACACATACTTATGTGGAAGTGACATGAAAATACACAGAAGGTCTTACGAGGAAAACACAGAGTGACTGGGGGATGAGGAGTTGATTAACTGGAAAGTATCAGATTTGGATAAACGAATTCTAGCATTTGAATCCAATAAAGCATACTTGATATTAATGTTGCATTTGAGCACAGTTTAGTGTATTTTAGATGAGTCAGTATGCATTTTAGGATCTTCTGGTATCTTTTATTTCTTTTTTTCACCCAGGCTGGAGTGGAAGTTTCACTGCAACCTCTGCCTCCCAGGTGCAAGCAGTTCTCCTATCTCAGTCTCCCAAGTGGCTGGGACTACAGGTGTGCACCCCCATCCCCCCACTGGATTATTTTGAAGTAAATTCTAGATAGCATATTAGTATATCTGTAATTATAGAAATGCATATTTTATAAATGTAGATTTTTAATTTTATAAAAGTATGGATTAATCAAAGCATACCTGGGGGTCATAATCCTTGTAGGCTCATAGTTTGACCTCAGTTTAGTGAGTTGTCTCTGGTGGTTGCTGCTTTAACATATTTAGAAGACATTATCTGAATTACCCTGATACTTTCTTCCATCTGTGACATATGGCACAAATGAAGAGCACTTTCTGTCAGGAGTTTTGATGTGAGTGACTCATTTGATTTAGTGATCCTCAGTCCTGGAAAAAGTTATCGGGAATCCAGGCTCTGTATATAGTCTTGGCTGCGTGACTTGAAAAGGTGGAACATTCACATTCCTTGTCCAAATATGCCTCATAAAATTTAATGTGTTCTGTGTAAGACTCTAATCTGCCAACCAGAAACACTCCCAGAGTTTCTTGGCTGAAAGTCTGGGAGTTGGAGCTTTCACCAATTACCCATTCTTTCTTTCCACTTCCTTTACACACCCGTCTTCTCCTATTTGTTCTTTCTGACACTTTGACAATTTTTTTCCTCCATCTCAGCGATTATCATAAATATTACAGCTGGGCTGTTAGCTGGGTAAAATGTGGGAAAAGACCATTTTATGATTATACAGCCAAAGATAGTCTTTAGCAGAAATTTAGTGTGTTTTCATTTCTTTGGAAATCAAAACCAATCCAGTTTTCTTTAAAAAAATTAACAACCTCCAGCTGTATCAACACATGTTTTGGACTGTGACAAGATTCATGCTGTATGTTTATTTTTGTAGTTCATATCCCACTGAGTAGCCTTTCCTTCTAGGGTCACTGTCACTAATCCATCTAGTCCCAGGGATAATACTTCCAGTAGTTTGTTTGAAAATGGTAAATATCTTAAAATCTAAAGTCCACAAATCTACCGCATAATGTATCTGGTATTGTTGCTGTTAGTTTTAATTTCTTAAAAATCAGATTTAGGTAAGATAGTAATAAAGAGAAAACTCTAGGTTTTAGTTGATCTGGGTTCTAGATTCTTCCCTATCCTAATTAGTTATATATCCATGAGAAAATCTTTTAATTTCAGTGAAACTCAGCTTGTTTCTCTTTTTAAACATTGCCAGTTATAAATGTATTTTGTTTTATATTATTATTATTTATTATTATTTTTTAAAGATGGGGTTTCACCATGTTGGTCAGGCTGGTCTTGAACTCCCGACCTCAGGTGATCAGCCTGCCTTGGCCTCTAAAGTATATTATTTTTATTTATTCATTTTTTTGAGACTGAATCTCACTCTGTTGCCCAGGCTAGAGTGCAGTGGTGCAATGTTGGCTCACTGCAACCTCTGCCTCCTGGGTTCAAGTGATTCCCATGCCTCAGCCTCCTGAATAGCTGGGACTACAGGCGCATGCCACCATGCCCAGCTAATTTTTGTATTTTTAGTAGAGATGGGGTTTTGCCATGTTGGCAAGGCTGGCCTTGAATTCCTGACCTCAGGTGATCCACCTGCCTCAGCCTCCCAGAGTGCTGGGATTACAGGCATTGAGCCACTCTGGCTGGCTTCTATAAATGCATTTTAAATAAAAACAGTAGTTCCTGAGCTGGTTGTGGAACTACGATAGGCTTATGCCTATAATTCCAGCACTTTTGAAGATGGAGGTAGGAAGATCTCTTGAGGCCAAGAGTTTAAGACCAGTGTGAACCACAGAGTGAAACCCATCTCTACAAAAACAAAAAATATAAAACAAAAACCCCAGCCAGATATGGTGACACATGAGTGTAGTCCCAGCCACTTGGGAGGGTAAGGTGGGAGGATTCCTTGAGTGCTCAGGAATTTGAGGTTACAATGAGCTATTGCACCACTGCACTCCAGCCTAGGCAACAGAGCAAGACCCTGTCTTCAAATAAAATAAAATAAAATAAAATAGGCCAGGCACGGTGGCTCATGCCTGTAATCCCAGCGCTTTGGGAGGCTGAGATGGGTGGATTGCTTGAGGTCGGGAGTTTGAGACCATTCTGGCCAACATGGTGAAACCCTCTCTCTTCTAAAAATACAAAAAAATTAGCTGGGTGTGGTGGTGTGTGCCTGTAATCTCAGCTACTTGGGAGGCTGAGGCAGGGGAATTGCTTGAACCAGGGAGGTAGAGGTTGCAGTGAGCTGAGATCACACCACTGCACTCTAGCCTGGGCCACAGAGTAAAACTTCATCTCAAAAATAAATAAAAATTAAATAAAATCATAGTTTTCTATACCACCACCACTCATTTCTACCTTGTAGAGTCAACTAATTTCACCTCTTTTACCTAGTTTGTTATTTACCTCCATGACTCGAAATAACACATTGGTATTACTATTTCTTTTTTTTTTTTTAATTTCTAGGCACAATCTATTGAATTTCCAGTATAGATGATAACAGTTACATTTTCTTTCTTTTTTTTTTTCTTGTCTCACTTTGTTGCCCAGGCTGGCGTGCAATGGCATATCTTGGCTCACTGCAACCTCTGCCTCCTGGGTTCAAGCGATTTTTCTGCCTCAGCATCCCTAGTAGCTGGGATGACAGGCATGTACCACCATACCTGGATAATTTTTGTATTTTTGTAGGGATGGGGTTTCACCATGTTGGCCAAGCTGGTCTTGAATTCTTGATCTCAAGTGATCCATCCGCCTCAGCCTCCCAAAGAGCTGGAATTACAGGCATGAGCCACCAGGCCTGGCCTATTTTTTTCTTAACCTTACCACAGAGCCACAGATGTAGATGTATTTCCTTTTTCCTCTAAATATATCCTTAGGTTATGTTATAATTTGTCTTAGATCAGTATTAAATGTTAACATTATTGTGACTATGTATCTTAGTCCATTTGGGCTGATACAACAAAATACTATGAACTGGGTAGTTTATACACAATAGAAATGTATTTTTTACAGTTATGAAAATTGGAAAGTCCAAGATCAAGGAGGCAGCAGAAGCCTGCTGAGGTCCTGTTCCTTATAGATAGCTCCTATCCACGAAGATAGGAACTCATGTGAAGACACAGGTAGGGGGCTATGTACTCAAGTTGGAAGGAACCATTGCATGGTGGAAGGGACTAGCTAGCTCCACAGAGCTGCTTTTATAAGGTCATTAATCCCATTCATGAGGGCCCCACCTTTGTGACCTAATCACCTTCCAAAAGGCTCTTAATATCATTACCTTGGGAGTTAAGATTTCAACATAGAATATTTGGGGGACATAAACATTCATACCACAGCAGTATGTGAACATTTCAGAACTGAACTATGTAGTAAACTATGATTAATTTTTCCTTCCTGTTACTTTCTTTTTGCAGGATTTACAAATTTAGTAATTAGATTTAGTTATTGCTTAGTTTCCCATGTATTTGTCATGAAGTATTTATTTGTTAACTCCAAGCTCCTTGCCAGTTGTTAGTCCTCTCAAAACATTCTGATGTATTTTATTATTTCACCTTCCTGAGAAGTCCCTTAAGAGGTCTCGTCTGGCTGGACTGTTTATTTCCACACTTAGAGCAAACTTTTATTCTGTGATTTTGACATTATCCTCCTGGGGATTCACTTCACTCTCTTCTGTGCAGATGCCCCTGTTTCTTATGTGATCATCTTCTTTCTTGGTTACTGCTTTATTTTGGTGTAGCAGCCTCTCCAGTAGTCACCTGAGGTAGGATAGATGTCAGGAAAATTTTTAAGGTCTTCTTGTCTAGAGTCTTAATTTTACTCTCAAGATGTAATTAACAGCTTGACTGGGTATAGCATTGTAGGTTGTAAATAATATTCCTACAAAATTTTGAAGACTTTGTTCATTTCATTTTTTTTTTTTTTTTGAGACAGAGTCTCACTCTGTCTCCCAAGCTGGAGTGCAGTGGTGCCATTTTGGCTCACTGCAGCCTCTGCTTCCTGGGTTCAAGTGATTCTCCTGCCTCAGTCTCCCAAGTAGCTGGGATTATAGGCACGTGTCACCACGCCCAGCTAATTTTTGTATTTTTAGTAGAGATAAGAGTTTTACCATGTTGGCCAGGCTGATCTTGAACTCCTAACCTCAGGTGATCTCCATGCCTTGGCCTCCCAAAGTGCTGAGATTATAGGTATGAGCCGCCGTGCCTAGCCTGTTCTTTTTATGTTCTTTTTAGTTTTATTATTGTCAGCATTCTGAAGCCATCTTTACTCTGGATCTTTCCTTGAGATCTGCTTTTTCTCCCTGGAAGATTATGGCAGCTTCACCTAGATCCCAGTATTCTGATAGGAATCATGATGTAAGTCTGTTCACATCCAGTATGGTACAGTGATTTAGAGCACTGAGTGTTGGGCATGGGCCAGCTGGGGTCGAATGCCAGTTTCATCACTTACTGTGTTGCCTTGGACAGTTTATTTTATTTTTCTCAGCTTTAATTTCTATATCTGTAAAAGGTGGATAATGATGGTTTTGACAAGGAAATGAGTTAAATATATTAAAGCAGTTAGAACAGTGCCTGGCACAGAGGAAGCCCGAACACCATTTATGTTAGCTACTCTTGCCATTATCCATTATACTTGACATGCTTCGAACCCTTGCAATCTAGAAACTCAGGTCCCTCACTTCTAGGAAATTATCTCAAAAATAAACTTATATATATTTCTGTCTTTTCCTTTTCCCAACACTTTCTAGAAGTACTATTATTCATGTACTGTACTGGTTTTCTAATTTTTTATCTTTTATCTCTTGCTTTTGTTTTTAATCTCTTTGCCTTTTGCCGCAATTTGTGGGAGATCCTCTCAGTTTTCCAACCACCATAAGTTTTTCTTTTCTACTATTTCCTTTTCTTTTTCTTGTTTTCTTTTTTTTGAGATGGAGTCTCACTCTGTAGCCCAGGCTGCAGTGCAGTGGCATGATCTTGGCTCACTGCAACCTCTGCCTCCTGGGTCCCAGTTCAAGCAATTCTCCTACCTCAGCCTCCCAAGTAGCGGGGATTACAGGCATTAGCTACCAGGCCCAGCTAATTTTATTTTTTTTTTGTATTTTTTTGTAGAGACGGGGTTTCACCATGTTGGCCAGTCTGGTCTTAAACTCCTGACCTTGTGATCCACCCACCTGGGCCTCCCAAAGTGCTGAGATTACAGGTGTGAGCCACATAGACCGGCCTCTTTTCTGCTATTATATTCTTATTTTTTTCTCTGAATACTTGCCCTTCTCCTTTGTAAAAGGTAATCTGTTTTATTCATAATTGCTTGTCTTTTCTTATCTGTGAAGATACAAAATAGATTTCTTCTCACTGCATTGTATGTGTTCCCTCAAAGCTGTTTTTCTGCTTATTTTTGTCTCCATCTGTCGTGTGAAAAGCTCTTGTAGTAATCCAGGTGTGACAAAGTACACGCCTTAAGGAAGTGAAGGTGGAGTAGATGATGCAGCTCTGACTCAAGAATTGTGGAAAAAGTAGAAGTCACAGTGTAGCTTAGGGAAAAGGATGTGAGTGAATGAAAGGGAGGAACCTAGGATGACTTCCAGATTGTGGGCTTGGGCCATGGGGTAAATGCTGTCGTCAGAGATAATGGGAAAGGAAGAATTGTCTTAGGCATGTAGAATATTCATTTTGTTTTAGGTTGGTATTTGAAGCTCTCAGGAGACACTCGAGTGGAGATTTCCAATGGCAGTGGGCTTTACAGATGTGCTGTTCAGGAAAGGGAAAGTGGAAAGATGAAAACTGAAGCCATGGATGTCTTTGAGCTCATCTAGGGAGACTATGCAGAATAAAAAAGAGACAGTAAACAGCCTAAAACCTTGGCTGGCAGCATAGAAGAGGCAGATCTTTAGAAAAAAATGAACTGGATATCTAAACCCCAGGTGAATTGTGTGCTGTAATGTTTTGTTTCTTTCAGATTGAGTCTTGTTCTGTCGCTCAGGCTGGAGTGAGTGGCGTGACCTCAGCTTGCTGCAACCTCTGCCTCCCATGTTCAAGCGATTCTCTTGCCTCAGCCTCCTGAGTAGCTGGGACTGCAGGCATGCACCACCACATTAGGCTAATTTTCCTGTTTTTAGTAGAGAAAGAATTTCACCACGTTGACCAGGCTTGGCTTGAACTCCTAACCTCAAGTAATCCATCTGCCTCCCAAAGTGGTGGGATTACAGGCATGAGCCACCACACTTGGTCTGGTGCTGTAATTTTTTAAAATGAAGAATAGTTTGGCATATACTTTTAAAAATCAGTTATTTACTTAGGTTCTTAAGAAATTCAGAACACCAATTTATGAGGATACATTCCTTTTTTTCTGAGACAGGGTCTCATTTTGTTGCCCAGGCTGGAGTGCAGTGGCTTCATCTTGGCTCACTGCAACTTCTGCCTCCTGGGTCAAGTGATCCTCCCACCTCAGAATCTTGAGTAGCTGGGACCACAGGCATCCATCACCACACCTGGCTAATTTTTTCTTCGGTGTTTTTAGTAGAGATGCTGTTTTGGCACGTTGCCCAGGCTAATCTCAAACTCCTGAGCTCCCTGCATCTCCCAGCTTCAGCCTCCCAAAGTGCTGGGACTATAGGCATGAGCTGCCACGCCTGGCCTGTGAGGATAAATTCCATTTGTCAGGGCAAACACAGATCACAGCTAGCCCTGGAGCTGAGGAATAGCTTTGATTTTTGGTAAAATCTATGAGTTCACAGCTTTCTGGTCAATTTTGTGCTGCTCTGTACTCTTGTATTTCTCTTCTTCTGTGTTGAAGATCTCACCTCCCTGGTGTCTGGGTTTCCGCAGCTGCTGCTTCTTGGAGTAAGCATCAGTAAGATGCTTTGGGATTTTTACATTGCTGATATGAATTTTGGTTGAGGTGGCAATGACAGATTTCTGGTGCGTTCTTTGTAGAGGATCTTGATTGACGACCAGAGGTCCAGTCACAAGTAACAAGCCACTAGCCAGGTGCTTTAGGAAAACCACTCTTTTGCCTCTGTGGCGCCCATTGAGGATGACCAGAATGGTCCCGGGAGTGATGCTGGTTTGCAGTTTTCTTGTGTGCTGACTGAAGGGTTTTTTTCTGTGGCTCAACAGCTTTTGAGGCACATCTTCAGTAGGATAACATCTAGGCATTTTGCAATGTTTAACTACCCAGGAACCATCGTTCTTGTCACCACCAAATGGTTTTGTAACAGTTGCAAGAAGCTTCTCCTTTTTCATTTCAACCTTGGATATAGCAGCTGAATATCTTTCCTTGTACATGGCAGATTGGAAATATCTGCCAATTCCTTTGACAAGGACAAGATTTCAGCTGCAACGGGGCTTCTCCTGCACTTTTTAGCCTTGAAGTTACCCCTTTTCACCTTGCCACCAGCATCAGCCTTCTTGTCTTCGGGTTTCTTCTCTTTAGGATCTGGCTTCTCAGCTTTTTCACCCTCCATCTTGCAAGATGGGAAAGGGAACTCGGCATAGAAATTGAACAGTGAATGATTAGAATATGGAATCTTTTTATTTTCAGTTGACAAAGCATATCAAAACTTTATCCGTGAGAACATTTTATCTAATAACAAAGAAAAAACAGAGGAAAGAAAAAAATTAGCAAGAGTTTATTATATACTTGAAACTCTTCTAGGTGCTCTATTTCTATCCTTTAGTCCTTATCATAGCTCTGCAAGGGAGAAAGGGGCAAGAAAGAGCAGAGTTCTAATATTAGGAGGAGAAGAAGGTCTGGGGATGGGGCTGGGCCAGGCTCTTGATGAGGCAGTACTTACTGTCAACGCCACCAGCAGTTGACAGAGCAGCAAGAATGGAGGGAAAAGGCTCTCCTTTGCTCACTGTATGTATCTCAGGATCTTGTTTCCACTAGCTAGGACAGAAGTTTCTCTAACCTCTTTTCATCGTTTTGTTTTATTTTATTTTATTTAGAAACACGGTCTTGGCTAGGTGCAGTAGCTCATTTTTCTAATCCCAGCACTTTGGGAGTCCAAGGTGGTGGGATCTCAAGGTCAGGAGATTGAGACCATCCTGGCCAACATGGTGAAACCCTGTCTCTATTAAAATACAAAAAAAATTAGCTGGGTGTGGTGGCGCATACCTGTAGTCCCAGCTACTCTGGAGGCTGAGGCAGGAGAATTGCTTGAACCCGGGCGGCAGAGGTTGCAGTGAGCCAAGATCGTGCCACTGCACTCCAGCTCTGGCAACAGAGCAAGACTCCATCTCAAAACAAAACAAAAAAAGAAACACAGTCTTGCTCTGTTGCTCCGGGCTGGAGTGCAGTGGCATCATCATAGCTCACTGCAGCTTCAGGCTTGTGGCCTCAAATGATCCTCCTGCTTTGGCCTCCCAAAGTGCTGAGATTACAGGCAGGAGCCACTGTACATAATAACCTCTTTTCATTGTAGTACTAAGAGCAGTCATCTTCTTTCCTATTCCAGTAAATGGCACCATTTTTATTCCATTGCTTAGGCCAGAAACCCAGGGGGTCATCTGTGATTCTTCCGGGTCCTTCACCTCCTCTTTGGTCCAATCTCTTGGCACATATCATGGGCTCTACCTCCTGAATGTATCTCACGTGTATCAATTTCTCTCTTACATCTATCACCCTCACCCTAGTCTCCATCATCTCTTGTTTGGAATATGGAGAGGGCCTCTTATCTGACCTCCTTGCTTCTGTTCTTGACGTTCCTATTGTCTATCCTCAACAACCATGGTGATATTTTAAAAATGGCAATCATGTTACTGTCAAGAAGATCCTGTCACTCCCCTAAGTAATGCCGTTTCCCATGGCCTATCAGGCCCTGTGCTTTCTGACACTTGCCTTGCTCTCTGACCTCATTCCTCCCACTCATCACCCAGCCCCACTCGGCTCTAGCACTGAGGCCTGCTTGCTGTCTAGATACATTAGACTTGTTCCTGCCTTAGAGTCTTTGTACTTGCTTATTTTCTCCAACATTCTTAGCCCTCACAATTTTGCAGGGCTGCCTCCTGATTATTGAGGACTTGGCTCAAATAACGTCTGCTGAGGGAGGCCTCCTGGGACCTCCCCACCCCCCCCCAGGGAAATCGGCCTTTCCTTTACTCAGTCACTTGCAGTGACAGCACCTTATTTTAGTTCCTTTAAAGCACTCATATCACTTTTGGCAATCATTTATTTGCTTGATTTTTTATTTGCCTGTATTTCTCTTTGTTTCTAGTGTCTACAATAATACCTACCCAGAGTAGTCACTCTATTACTATCAGTATTTGTTGGATAAATGATTGTATTACTTTAAAAATTTGTTGAAGCCAGGTGTGGTGGCACGGCCAGTAGTCCCAGCTACTCAAGAAAGAGGCTGAAGTGGAAGGATCACTTGAGCCCAGGTGTTCAAGGCTGCAGTGAGCTATAATCACGTCTTTTTCACTCCAGCTTGGGCAACAGAGTGACACCCTGTCTCTAATCACTTTTTTAAAAGTATTGTTGAAAAGGTGCCACTTTTTTTTTTTTTTTTTTTTTTTTGAGACAGGGTCTCACTCCAATGTCCAGGCTGGAGTGCAGTGGTGCAATCATGGCTCACTACAGCCTCAACTTCCTGTACTCAGGTGATTCTCCCAGCTCAGCCTCCTGAGTAACCGAGACTACAGTTATGCACCTCCTTGCCTGGCTAATTTTTTGTATCTTTAGTAGAGATAGTGTTTCGACATGTTGCTCAGGATGGTCTTGAACTCCTGACTCAAGCTATTCGCCCAAAGTGCTGGGATTACAGGTGTGAGCCACCACAAACGACCAAAAGGGACCACTTTTGAAGAACGCTTAAGGGGTTTGATATTCTTTGACCCACATATTTTTCAGCTTTATTGAGGTATAATTGGCTGTGACATAAACTGCACCTGTTTAAGGTACACGGTTTGATGAGTTTTGACATGTGTCTGCATCTTTGGGGCACCCTCACAGTCAAGCTAATAATGAACATGCCATTGGCCTAAAAGTTTTCTTGAGCCTCTTGTAATTCATCCCGTCTCATTGTTCTTCTTCCACCACCAGACTCTGGGCAACCACTGATATGTCTGCTTTCTGGCACTATAAATTGGTTTGTATTTTGATAATTTTATATCAATAGCATCATTCAGTTACTATATTTTGGTTTCTTATGTTCAGCATAGTTATTTTAAGATTCGTCTGTGTTATTGCATGAATGTTCCTTTTTATTGCTAAGTAGGATTCTATTGTCTGGATGTATCACACTTTGTTTATCCATGAACTTTTTGATAAACATTTGGGTTGTTTCCAGTTCTTAGTGCTTACAAATAAAGCTGCCGTGAATGTGAGCATTATCTGGGCATTGTTCTCATTTCTTTGGAGTAAATACCTCCAGGAGAGAAGTGGCTGGGTTATAGGTGCATGTTTAGTTGGACACATTGTCAAATCTCTGTTTTAGTTCTGAGGGAACTGGGGGCTAGGTGAAGGATCTGTAACTTACCCAAGGTGACACACCCTTTTTTTTTTTCTTTTTGAGACAAGGTCTCACTCTGTCGATGGAGGGTAATGGCCCAATCATGGCTAACTGCAGCATTGACCTCCTGAGTTCAAGCAATCGTCCCATCTCAGCCTAAGATGTATCTAGGACTACAGGCACCCACAACCACCCTAGCTAATTTTGGCTTTTTTTTTTTTTTTTTCCCAAAATAAGGATTTAGCCTTATTGCCTAGGCTGGTCTCAAACTCCTGGGCTCAAGCGATCCACCTGCCTTGGCCTCCCAAATTGTTGGGATTACAGGTGTGAGACCCTGCACCTTGCCTCAAGGTGATACAACTTTTAAGGGAATGATGAGATGCAGGTCTAGATTCCTGTCACTTTGAAGTTTATTATTTTCCAGAAGCTGGTGCTGTTGAGTTGCTTGCTTGGTCCACTTTTGACCTGGGGCCTGTATGGCCTGTTGATATCTGCTGACACCCTGCTGACACTCTGCTCTCATTAAGGCCTCTAGGACCTGCTGATGCCTGGATGAATGTGTGGCTTTTTTGTTCCTGTTTTCATGACACACTATGATTCTGTAGCCTGCACGTCTTGCTTACTGGGACTAGTAGGTGTTGCTTACTTAGTACTTATGCAGCCAGGGTTTGCTGAGGCTGGTTTCAGCCAGCATTGTGCTAAGTAAGGTCCTTGCTGGCCCATGTGTTTGATAAATAACTTTACTTAAGGTGGGTGAGGACTGTTAGAGACAGAATGCTTGTTCCCAGGTGTTGCAAGGAAAAATTAGCATTCAGACAAAAAGTTTTCTCAGTGAGGCAATTTTACTTTCTGTAGAAAGGGTGCTCCCATTGGCCATCTTGCCGTAAGAGTACAGTGAACAAAGGAAAGGCAGGAATATTTCTTCCTTTAGTATTGGGTGTTTACTGCTGTGTCCAATCTCCATTGGTTGGAACCAGACCTCACAATCTAAACTGAACCTGATTGGCTAACAACTTAAAACTTTTCTAAGTAGGTAAAGGAAATGGAGAACAAAGGAAAAGAGGAAGTTGCTTGTGAAAGGACTTAGAAAAGTAATGACATTCCCCGATAAGGAAGGAGCATAGGCTGTGAGTTGGGACATGCTTGTGAGCATGTCCAGCACAAATATCTTAGTTAAAGTACAAGGACTTAGAATGTACTTATTTCCTTATGTCTGACAGCTTCATGGGATAGGGCTTAACAAAAAGTTATTAGCAAAAAAGCAAGAAGTCTTTGAAGAAAGTTAGTCTCTGAAAGAAACTATTATTTCTAACATTTATTATTATTATTCTTTAACAAGAAGGGAAACTTTGAAGAGGAAGTTACTACTTTCCACAAAGCCTATGTGCAATTTGCTTCAGGCCCAGTAAATATGGGCATTTCTCTTTAAAAACACCACTTAAGGTGACCTGAGCCCAGGAATTTGAGGTTATAGTGAACTATGATCACACCACTGCACTTCAGCCTGTGTGACAGAGTGAGACGCTGTCTCAAAAAAAAAAAAAAAACCAAAACCAAAACCAAAAACAAACAAAAAAAGCAATCAGCAATTGAAGAGCTTCCATAGCTTCAGTGATGAACCAAAGTGAGACTCTCATGTAATTAGTTTCTTGGGCTAAAACTGCTTGCTTAGGTCACAATAGTTAAAAATCCAACTGCACAATTGTAAAGTTGAGTCTTATTATCCAGGAATAATCTCTGGAGATTTTCAAGGTTAAAATGCACAGCCTGCCTCTCGAATCTAAGGCACAAAGTCATATACCCAGACCCCACCAGAATCCTTGTTATTTTGGTCCCCACATTCCACCTTAATTCTCAACACTTCTGGTTAAATATAGCCGATGCTAGAGTTTTGAGGGGCACCAAAAATATGATATCATTGTTCTTTGTCTAGGATCTGGATCAAATGTGAAATAATACCAAAGAGTAAACAGGTAGGAAATCTAAACAGCAGCTTTATGACTGCAAAACCTCACATCGAAGACACGGCTTGTATCGGGGCAAGTGGGCCCCACATTAAAATTTAAAATAAGATAAATTTCCCTAGCCAATCTCTGGCAGTTCTGGGCCACAGCAGGCCTTCTGGGCAGCAGGGCCATTTTCAGCAAGTGTCCTAAAACCTATAAAAAGAATAGTGTTTTTTTTTTAGACGTTTTCTCACTCTGTCTTCCAGGCTGGAGTCCAGTGGCACAATCTTGGCTCACTGCAATGTCCACCTTCCAGATCCAAGTGATTCTCTTGCCTCAGCCTCCAGAATAGCTGGGAATACAGGCAGGCACCACCATGCCTGGCTAATTTTTGTATTTTTAGTAGAGATGGGGTTTCACCATGTTAGCCAGGATGGTCTTGAACTCCTGGCCTCAAGCAATCCACCCTCCTTGGCCTCCCAAAGTGCTGGGATTACAGTCATGAGCCACCATGCCTGGCCTTTTTAATTTTTAAATGTTATTTATTTATTTTTGAGACGGAGTTTCGTTCTTGTTTACCCAGGCAGGAGTGCAATGGCGTGATCTAGGCTCATCGCAACCTCCGCCTCCTGGGTTCAGGCAATTCTCCTGCCTCAGCCTCCTGAGTAGCTGGGATTACAGGCATGCGCCAGTATGCCCAGCTAATTTTTTGTATATTTAGTAGAGACGGGGTTTCAGCATGTTGACCAGGATGGTCTCGATCTCTTGACCTCGTGATCCACCCACGTCGGCCTCCCAAAGTGCTGGGATTACAGGCATGAGCCACCGTGCCCGGCCCATTAAATTTTATTTATTAATTAATTTTTAAAATTTCAATAGCTTTAGGGATATGAGTGGTGTTTTACATGGATGAATTTTATAGTGGCAAAGTCTGGATTTTTAGTTCACCCAACACCGGAATAGTGCAGATTGTACACTATAGGTAGTTTTTCATCCCACATTACCCCATTACCCACCTCTGATTCTCTAATGTTCATTATACCACTCAGTATGCCACTGCACATCCATAGCTTAACTCTCACTTATAAATGAGAACATATGGTCTTCAGTTTTCTGTTCCCGAGTTGCTTCATTTCCATCAATAATGGTCTCTAGTTCCATAGTTGCAAAAGACATTTTTTTAATGGCTGAATAGTATTCCATGGCATATAAAAGACCACATTTTTTCTCTTTCCTTCCTTCCTTCCTTCTCTTTCTTTCCTTTTTCTTTTCTTTCTCTTTCATTCTTCTTTCTTTCTTTCTCTCTTTTTTCTTTCTTTCTCTCTCTCTTTCTTTCTTTCTTCTTCGTTTTTTTTTTTTTGGTGGAGTCTCGCTCTTGTTGCCCAGGCTGGTGTGCAATGGAGCCATCTCAGCTCACTGCAACCTTTGCCTCCCAGATTTGAGCGATTCTCCTGCCTCAGCCTCATGAGTAGCTGAGATTACAGGCATGCACCACCATGCCTGGCTAATTTTTCTGTATTTTTAGTAGAGACAGGGTTTTTCCATGTTGGTCAGACAGGTCTCAAACTCCCAACCTCAGGTGATCCACCCACCTTGTCCTCCCAAAGTGCTGGGATTGCAGGTGTGAGCCACCACGCCCGATCAGTAACACATTTTCTTTATCCACTCATCGGTTGATGGACACTTAGGTTGATTCCACATCTTGGCAGTTGTGAATTGTACTGTGATAAACATATATGTGCAGTTGTCTTTTTAATATAATGACTTCTTTTCCTTTGGGCGGATGCCCAGTAGTGAGATTGTTAGATTAAATGGTAGATCTACTTCTAATTCTTTGAGAAATCTCCCTACTGTTAGCCATAGAGGTTATACTAATTCACTTTCCCACTAGCAGTGTTTAGGCAAAGAATCTAGTGATCTTGACTTTCTGTATTTGTAACAAAGGGCATAATCTATTAGTCTGAATTAATCTCTAGAGAAGGAAAAAGCTGTATAAGTCATTCTACTGGGAGCCTCAGGTCCTATTTTTGGATTTTCTCCTAATAGGCTCCTATTGTTCTTCTTAGTGTCAGTCCTTCTCTTTTGCTTTTTTTTTTTTTTTTTTTTGAGACAGGGTTTCTCTGTCACCCAGGCTGGAGTGCAGTGGTGTGATCTTGACTCACTGTAACCTCTGTCTGGAGGGTGAAGCAATTCTTGTGCCTCAGCAGTCCAAATATCTGGAACTACAGACGTGAGTCACCAGCTAATTTTTGTATTTTTTATAGAGACAGGGTTTCACCATGTTGCCCAGGCTGGTCTCCAACTCCTGAGCTCAAGCGATCTGCCTGCCTCAGCCTCCCAAAGTGCTGGAATTATAGGCATGAGCCACCGGGCCTGGCCCACCTTTGTTTCTAGTCATCCACCTCCATGCTAAAGGACTGCTTTTCACTTTTGAAACTTTCATAGCATTCAAATGTAGATGTAACCTTTGTAGACTTTAGTTGCAACTGCCATTTTTTCCTACATCAATTAACTCTATAAAATTAACTCCTTCCAAGTGCCAGAAGAAAACTCCTGTCTCTTACTATTTTAGAGATTGCTCATCATATGTCTGTTTCCTGTTGGAATTTAAATTTACTCTCCCACTCTCACCAACTATGTAGAACAGGTAAGACAAGCATACTGTGAACCCAACAAATGAGCAAACATTTCCTAGCCTGGTTCACTTGCACTGCCACGTCCTCCTCAGGTGCTGCATTGCATCAAAACTCAGGTGTATCCAGGAGAGTGACTGTCAGAATTCTAGCATTGCAGCTTGTGGAATTGCTTTACAAAGGTAATAGAAATAGCTGGCATAACTTCCTTAAAACCAAGAGGAGAGTTATTTCCTAATGGTGGCCTTCTTTTATTATGAGATCACATAAGTACATACATATTTTGTTTTCTCATGACCCTTTTAGTATTTGAAAGAATTTTCTAAGTTTTGCTAACAAAAGGCTTTGGAAAACAAATAGGAAAATTGGAAGCAGGAAAAAAGAAGGATTTTTTTTTTTATTCTGACAGTGTTATTTTTCTAGGTTAGATGAAACAGATGTTACTACTATCACTGATCACCCAAATAGCTAATATTTACTGAGCACTTAAAATGCCCCAGGCATAGTAGCTAGCATGGTCAGATGGAAGGCTGAAAGTTTATACCAGATGCCTGGGATTGATCCCCAGTTTTTCTAAGAAATGCTTGAGCTCCGCAACACTCTTCGTTCAGATTAATTCTATCTAGAGTGCTAGGTGCATATCCTCCTTGCCTAGCAATTGAGGATGAAGAAAAATACTTCTATTACTTTGTAGTTAGGCCTTAGGGTTTAACTTCTGTTTAAAAAGTATCAGGAAAGGATGAGTGACCACTTTAGTACTAGTGAAAAATATCTCATTTGCTCTGGTTTCATCTCCTTCTTGGGGGGCTGTTGGTCATTGTGGAGAAGGGTCTGTTTTGCTTATGTACTCTTTTAGGGAGGCCACTAAAAAGTAGTTTAGAAACTAGGATGAGTGCTAGGAAATATTTTTGTATTTAGGACCATGAATTTTTTAATGATGTGATTACTTCAAAACAAAAGTTATTCAGACATATGAATTAAAATACTACCCTGTTGGCATAGATATTATTCTTTTAGAATGCCAGTTAACATGTTTACTGTGTACCTGTGTTTAGACCTTGTAAGGCACATGAATTAAAGGTTTAGTGTTGATAAGTTGAGTAGTAGTAATCAGGATATGGTTTAGCTTGAGTGGCAAGAATAATATTTTATACAATTGAAACCCATGAAGTTTTATTATTTTACTTTTCATATATGGTATAGGCTCAGGAGTCAACCTCTGCCATCTTGCCTTGCTGTTTACTAACTTAGTCTGTGGTAAGTTGTTTAATTGCAGTCAGCCTCTATTCACTCATGGGTCAATGAAGACAAAATGGTACCTACTTGACTAGGGTTCTTGGGAGGAGGAAATGAATTACCTAAGGGACCTATCACAGGGCCTGGTACATGGAAGACCCTGTGATGGGTCCCTTAGGTAATTTGTTTAGAAAAGACTCAGCAAATGGTAGTTATTATCATAGAAAATCAGTATCGGCCCAGTCCCCTCGCCGAGTCCCTCCGCTGCCGCCACGATGATGTGCGGGCGCCCTCTGCTGCGCAGCCGGCCACCGCCGAGACCCAGAACATGGCGGACCAGGTGAGGTCCCAGCTTGAAGAAAATGAAAACAAGAAGTTCCCCGTGTTCAAGGCTGTGTCCTTCAGGAGCCAGGTGGTTGCGGGGACGAACTACTTCATCAAGGTACATGTCGGTGACGAGGAATTTGTCCACTTGCGAGTATTCCAAAGTCTCCGTCACGAAAACAAGCCCTTGGCCTTGTCTAACTACCAGACCAACAAGGCCAAGCACGATGAGCTGTCCTATTTCTGACCCTGACTTTGGGCAGGGTCCTGCCACCAGAAGGCTGGTAATTAAGTGATTCTGCCTGGACCACAGCTTGCACTTGGGATCATAAAATGAGCATCTCCTGGCTGCGCCCCTCAGGTGGAAGGGGCCGGATGTAGCAGCTGCTCTTGCATTTCTGTTCCTAAAGTTCATTGTGTTGATTTTTTCCCCTTCCAATCAGGGATCTTAATTACTTTCAAAATATTTTCAAAAAATAAAATATATATTTTAAAAATAAAAAAAAAAAAAGAAAAGAGAAAGAAAATCAGTGTCAGTAATTTGCTCCATGACAGACAAACTCTATGAATCTCATTTATTACAACTTGTAATACATTTTCTTTTCATAATTCTAGGATTTTAGTCAATGAGTTATAGACGTAATAATAACTGATCTGATTAGCTGTGGCCAGAAAAGGTTGTTGGGAAAAGGACCACAAATGCTACTATAAATAGCATGTTACCAGTGCAGGGTAAACGAGTCTTTCCAGTTAGTTTTGTTGACAAGATGCTTTGTTTTCCCTTCTGTCATTTTATCCTGAAGGTGGAGCAGGTGCTGTTTCAGGCTAAACACCTTGCAGTCCCATCTACCACCCTTCTCTAGGTCCTGACTTGGCCTGTCAGTTCTCCTCATGCCCTTGGATTTCATTTTCTGCAGGCATCTCTTACTAGAAGCTTGGTATTTATTAGGCTCCCTTATAAAAACCTAAGAACAAATACAATCGAGTCATTTCAACATTCCAGCTTCTCATGGAGTCATCAGGATGTTATCAGCCTGTAGGAGCAACTGGAATTAACCACAACTCCCCCTATTTTTATTCCTTTTCCTTCAGTTTCTTTTTTCTAGATGTTAAAAATGGTAATTGCCAGCCATTTCAAAGATAGCAGATAGTACAAAAAACACAAAGAAGAACAAATAATCACTAATTCAGCATACAGAAGCAATCATTATGAAAATTTTGGAGTTTCTCCATTTAGTTGCTTATTATTTTAACATGGGTAGGAGCATTCTGTTTGCCTATCAATAAGAAAAAAAAGATCATGTTTAATCTTATAAATATTTCTCCTTGTTAACATGTTTACTTTAAAAAAATTTTTAAATTTTTATTTTTTGAGGCAGAATCTCACTCTGTCACCCAGGATGGAGTGCAGTGGGGTGATCATGGCTCAGTGTAGCTTAGACCTCCCAGGCTCAAGTGATTCTCCCACCTCAGCCTTCTGAGTAGCTGGGACTACAGGTGCACATCACCATGCCTGGCTAATTAAAAACAATTTTTTTTTTTTTTTTGTAGAGGTAGAGTCTCACTATGTTGCCCAGGCTGGACTTGAATTCCTGGGCTCAAGTGATCCCTCCCACCTCCGCCTCCCACCTCAGTGGGAGGATTGCTTAAGTTTAGGAGTTCGATTGCTTAAGTTTAGGAGTTCGAAAGCAGCCTGGACAACATGGCAAAATCCCATATCTACAAAAAATATAAAAATTAGCCAGGCATGGTAGTGTTGATTGTAGTCCCAGTAGCAGCTACTAGGGAGGCTGAGGTGGGAGAATCACCTAAGTCCCAGAGGTCAAGGCTTCAGTGAGCCATAATAGCCCCACAGTATTCCAGCCTGGGTGACAGAATGAGAACCTGTCTCAAAAAAAAAAACAAAACACAAAAAAACTAGTGGTGATGTTGTCCTGGTTTGTTTTCTTCTTCTTTTTTTTGAAATGGAGTCTTGCTCTATTGCCCAGGCTGGAGTGCAATGGCATGATCTCAGTTCACTGCAACCTCCGCTTCCCAAGTTCATGTGATTCTTTTGCCTCAGCCTTTTGAGTAGCTGGGATTCCAGTTGTGCGCCACCATGCCCAGCTAATTTTTATACTTTTAGTAGAGTTGGGGTTTCACCATCATGGTTAGACTGGTCTCGAACTCCTGACCTCAGGTGATCCTCCCGCCTAAGCCTCCCAAAGTGCTGGGATTACAAGTATGAGCCATCATGCCTGGCTGTTTTCTGTTGCTATTACAGAGTACCACAGACTAAGTAATTTATAAAGAAAAGAGATTTATTTTGTTCATGGTTCTGGAGGCTGGGAAGCCCAAAATCATGGGCTTTCCATCACATCTGACCAGGCCTTCTTGCTGCATCATAACATGTTAGAAGGAAGGCATCACATGGAGAAAGCTCAAGAAACAGAGAGAGGGAGGGGGCCAAACTTACCCTCTCTCTGTCGTCCGGGCTGGAGTGCAGTGGCAGGATCTTGGCTTACTGCAACTTCTGCCTCTTGGGTTCAAGGAATGTCTTAGCCTCCTGAGTAGCTGGGACTACAGGCGTGCATCACCAAGCCCGGCTAATTTTTGTATTTTTAGTAGAGGCTGGGTTTTGCCAGGCTGGTCTCAAACTCCTGACCTTGGGTGATCCACTGGCCTCGGCCTCCCAAAGTGCTGGGATTTTACAAGCATGAGCCATCATGCCAGGCCAACCTACCCTTTTTATCAGGAGCCCATTCCCACCATAACTAACCCATTCTTCCCCACTATAAGAGCATTAATCTATCTGGAGCCCTCCTGACCTGATTACCTCTTAAAGGGCCCATTTCTCAACACTGTTACAATGGCAATTAAATATCAACGTGAGTTTTGGAGGGGGCATTCAAACCATAGAGGATGTTGATCACTTTTTTTTCAAGTATTTTACCTTTTTTTTTCTGTGAAGAGATAGTGTTTTTATTGTTGAGTTAAAAAAAATATAATGAATTTGGCTTTTTACCTTGTGTCATGTCTGAGTAAACAGTCCACTTTTTCCATTACTGCCAGTTTCCTTTGTATCTGTTTTGTATTTATCTCTCACGAATTTACATAAACTCTGAACCTAGAGGATTTTTCTGTTCTTCAAGCTTCTAGTTTTCCCCTGCGCTACGTTTTAGAGCATGGAAAACAGTTCCACAGTCAAGTCTGGTTACTTTTTCTTTCGGCACTTTCTCCTCGGGCTTTACATTCCCAGCCTTTCCTGTTGGTTTCCCTGAGGAGTATCTTTTACCCCAAATTCTACTTGCAGAGGCTGGAAGTACGTGAAATACTGTGATTTGTAGAACTGGATCTCAAAATTAAGGTGCATACATAATGAACATATAGAAGACATTATTGGAGACTGGGGATTAGTTTATTTCTCCATCCTTAAGCCGAATGGTGGTGTTTTACCATTGAGCTATGCCTAAGTTGTTGCCGGTCTTTTCTACATGGTCTTGCTACTGACTGCTTTCCATTGCTTCCACTTCAGTGTGCGCCAGGGAAGGAAATGAGACAGGAGGAGAATTAGATTGAGATTTAAGTTCCAATGTTATAATTTGCCTGCTTAATAATCTTGGACAAATAATATGGCCCCAATGGGCCTTTGTTACTTCTTAGAATAGATGGGAGGATTAAGTGGGATCTCATGATCTGCCTCACTGGCTTGGGATGTAAAGTTGGTCATGCTTTTAAAAATTTTCTGATTCATCATTTGAATTTCTACTTGCCAATAGGGGGAAGACGCTTGCAATCCTGTATTTGAAATCTTTACAAATTGACCAAGAAGTGCTTACTCTTCCCAAGGAAATCCCCTTCCCATCTCCAGCTGGGGAGAAACTTGGAAAAGCCTGACCAGCCCACTGGTAGGCCCTGGGATCACTGCTGTTGCTTCTGTAGGGATTTTTTTGACACATTGGCCCCACCCAGGCCAGTGGGCCTTTACCCGTTGCCACCATGTCCCTTCTGGTTCAGTCCTCACACAACATGGCGGTGTCCAAGCCTGGCCTCTCAAGATGACTTCTGTTCAGGTCACATCCATACTTAGTCATTGTGTCCTGTGGCATCTGTCCAGGGTGACTGGACACAGAAGAACCTGCCATCAGGCAAGAAACCACTTTCTTTCTGGGGGGTATTAGGACCAGCCGACCTCAGTTGGTAACATCCTAATTCTGTTGAGAAATTCTGAAAACACTGTATTTTAAAAGGGAAGTGGCCAAGTCCACCTTTCTCCCTCCCCCAGGAGGCACCTTAAGGCTTCTATGCATATTTAGCCCCCTCCCCTCTATCGGCACTGAGTACTCAGCAAATCACAAAAGTTCCTGTCACACCATCCTCATCAGGAATGCGGTACTGATACAAAACTTAAATTTGAGATTACAGTACTTTGAGAGGCCAAAGCGGGTGGATCATGAGGTAAGGACTTGGAGACCAGTCTGGCCAACATAATGAAACCCCATCTCCACTAAAAATTCAGAAAATTAGCCAGGTGTCATGGTAATCCCAGCTACTTGGGAGGCTGAAGCAGGAGAATCTTGTGCACCCAGGAGGTCGAGGTTGCAGTGAGCCGAGATCATGCCATTGCACTCTAGCCCGGGTGACAGTGAGAGACTCCGCCTCAAAAAAAAAAAAAAGAAAAAACCCACAAAAAACCCAACTTAAATCTGTGTAACTAAAATGAGCCATTCAAGTGACTCTTCCTGGGAACAAAGAAGGTTGGCTAAGGGGCTTTTGGACATTATCTAGACAGACACTCTAACACCTTCTCTTACTAAATAAGTAAATAAAGTTCTACTTCACCAAACATAGCCACATTTGTGTAAAGCGCCTAGCCCACCTGTATTAGTCTGTTTTTATGCTGCTAATAAAGACATACCCCAAACTGGGTGATTTTTAAAGGAAGGAGGTGTTTAATTGACTCACAGTTCCACATGGTTGGGAGACCTCACAATCATGGTGGAGGGCAAAAGGGAACCAAGATACATCCTTCTCATATGGTGGCAGGCAAGGCAAGAGCGTGTGCAGGGGAACTCCCCTTTATCAAACCATCAGAACTTGTGAGACTTATTTACTATCACAAGAACAGCACGGGAAAAACCTGCCCCCGTGATTCAATTACCTCTCACCAGGTTCCTCCCATGACATGTGGGAATTATGGGAGCTACAATTAAGATGACACGTGGGTGCAGGGGGCACACAGCTAAACCAGTCACCACCTCTGTCACCCCTGAGAAGTGCTCAGAAAATGTTAGCGTCTCCCTACTCCCTTCCTCCTCACCCTGATTACACCTCTGCATCATTCAAGCTGGGAACACTTTGCTTTCCAAAGACCTTTCCCATTTCTCAGTGTCCATTCTCTGGAAGGCTCTGTGTAAATATGCCCCATACTGACCCCTTATATACAACCTCCAGAGAGGTTGGATGGTTGGAGCTGCTTTCAGGGTTTGTTTGCCAAAGACAGTTTTTTCCTTTCTTTCTCTCTTTCTTTCTTGATGGAGTCTCGCTCTGTTGCCAGTCTGGAGTGGAGTGGCATGATCTCTGCTCACTGCAACCTCCACCTCCCAAGTTCAAGTGATTCTCCCGCCTCAGCCTTCCAAGTAGCTGGGACTACAGGTGTGCAAGACCGCACCCAGCTAATTTTTGTATTTTTATTAGAAATGGGATTTCACCATGTTGGCCAGGCTGGTTTTGATCTCTTGGCCTTATGATCTGCCTGCCTCGGCCTCCCAAAGTGCTGAGATTAAAGGCGTGAGCCACCATGCCCGGCTATTCTTTCTTCAAATAATTAGAATTTACTTTACATTTGAATCCAACTTGTATTTTTATACAGTCAGCATGTCCTGAGCATTCTGTCATGGAAAAGAATTTGCTCATCCAAGAATAAACAATGCATAGCAAGTATCCCTCTTGAGACAGGTAGAGGTGTTTATGAAGTGTGCCTTGTTACTAGACTGTGCCCCACAAATAAACTTTCTACTGTGAGAAAGGGTGTGGCACCTGCTTTTTCAGAGGTTTAGTTTCACAGAACAATACAGTCCTTGGATTTTGCCAACAGTGCCTGATTAGAATGCACACAGGTGCCCGGGCACCGCGGTCAGAGGCTGTCTGCAGACCCCTTCTCTGTTCCAGACCATACTCTTTACCACATCCCCTTGCAGGATTCCCAGGTGTCCCTAGAGAGGGGCCGGGTATGTATCTCAAAGTAGACTCTCATCTCCAAAAGCAAATGACAGCTCCCTTGAATTATGTTGGGTGAAGGAATTGGTTTTCACATGTTTCATGAGCCATAATTAGGTGCCTAATACCATATTATTCTTGCAGGTATTTAATTATTGACTTTAGACACAAATTCTAATAGAAATAAAAAGAAGAAAAACTGAGACAAATGCTGAAGCTCTCTTGAAATTATTTATAGTCCCTCCTGACATGTCCTTTGCCGGCTTTTTTTTCTCTCTCTAATATTTCCAACAGAAATGCTTTGCTAATGCTATGAGGTGCGGCTGTGGCTTTGCTGTTTTTTTCCAGAGTTAGCCTTTCTTTCTGTGCATCCTGGCTCTTTGAAATCCCAACTGAATTTGGAGAAATTATTTGTTGGCATCCAACCTCCTTTCCTGGAACAGAATGTGATGCTGACGACACAGCCCAGTCACTCTACTTGACAACAAGTTTGTTTGTCTCATTTCACATACATATTCAGTGGTGAGTAAGAACAGGAGTAGAAAGCCTTACTTAACACAGTTTATTATATGTTTCACGCCCGTGATAATGACTTTTATAACGCCACTTGTGAAAAAATTGGTCAGATTAGGATGAATCACCTCAATGGGGCCAACAGTTATTGGAATGATTCTCCACGTGTGACTTCGTTGCACTATTACAAAATGTGGCAGGATAGACCTGCCCAGCCATTGTGCCGATGCTTATTTGTAATGCTGCCTTAAGGAGATGAGGAGATGAGAGCCAATTGTTCCAGCAGCTCAGCCTGCCCTGCCAACAGTTCAGAGGAGGAGCTGCCAGGGGGACTGGAGGTACATGGGAACCTGGAACTCGTTTTCACAGTGGTGTCCACCGTGATGATGGGGCTGCTCATGTTCTCTTTGGGATGCTCCGTGGAGATCCAGAAGCTGTGGTGGCACATCAGGAGACCCTGGGGCATTGCTGTGGGACTGCTCTGCCAATTTGGGCTCATGCCTTTTACAGCCTATCTCCTGGCCATCAGCTTCTCTCTGAAGCCAGTCCAAGCTATTGCTGTTCTCATCATGGGCTGCTGTCCCGGGGGAACCATCTCTAACATTTTCACCTTCTGGGTTGATGGAGATATGGATCTCAGGTAAGTGACCCCAGGGAAGCTCAGCAGTCTGCCTCTCACCCTGCCTGGGGGGAATAACTGACACGCTTGTGTTAAACAGGCTTCCAGTCTTTCCGTAGAGATTCTAGTGGGAAATGTTGCAAATATCACAGAGACTTGTTCAGCCGTAGGCAGGCTTTCGGTGCTCAAAATTGACTTTGCTGGGCATCCTTTGCTTTATTGGCTACTGTTCTGAGCAGTGGAATACATTTCCTATGTGATAGTGGAGGCAGGTCTCCACCTCACCCAGTGGCCCTTCCTAAGCTTGAGCTCATTCTTATCTACACTGGCCTCTTTTAATAACTCCCAGGACTTAAGCCAAGAATCCCAAGAAGTTCACCATCGTGGTTTGGTAGCAGCCATTTCGGTCTTGGTGGCATAGTCAGAACGAGACCTCTGTAACTCCAGTCAGCGATGCCTCAGCACCTACTTCAGGAAAGGAACGAAATACTTTGGAGGACTGGATGGGGAGCTTTAGGGGTGACTGGTAGCCATATCCAGCTTTAAATGCTGGGATGGCCTGTTGATTTGACTTCAGGAGCAACGTGAAGGCTCCCAGGACTAAAATCGTTCTTTCTTGTTGCTTTGCAGATGGTTAGCATTCATCACTAGAGTTGCATTCCTTCCCTTTAAGCCAGTGACCTTATTCACAATTATGGTGCAGATAAATACCCCTGGGAGACATTAAGCCTTGTCCCTTATTTAAACTTTAATGAGGATGAATTAGTCTCATGCTTTTCTGGATTACATGTTTTGATGGGGGAAAAAAAGAGCATTTGAGGAAAGAGTAGAGGGGTCAGCACTGGAAAAAGCTAAAAACAATGGTCTCTGGAGACTCTTTGCTTACTTACAAATGTGCTGTTTCACCTCCTGGCCTGGGGAAGAACTGCTTATAAATTTAAATCTTTGTCTCATGTGTATGTCATTTAGTTGAGATTTACTCTACCATGAATGAATGAATAAGGGGTAATGACTGAGCTGGGAGTTGATATCAGTGAGTCAGCTGCAGGTATGGGTTTCTAGTTTCCTGTGTGTGCTGAATGTTTAGTGTATGAACAGGTTTCACCTATAGATTTTTTTTGGACACCTGTAGATTTTAATGGGCTCACACCATGTAGAATAGGAACTAACTTTCCTATGGCAGTGTCTTTCAGTTACCCACTTATGAGAGATTTGAAAAAAAATAACTCGATGAAGTTTGTGTTTTACCACTAAGCCACTAATATGGATTGCTAATTCAAATTCAATAAAGTTGATTATTTAACTGGGAAATGAGACTTATTCTTTGCATGAAGTTTTAAAATCAGAGATAAATTCCAGGACCCAAAAGTTTTTGGAAAGAAAAAGGAAACTAATATTTATTAAGTACCTGATAAACCATGGGATACATGCTTTCATGCTTATTTTCTTCTTCACGGTCATAATGACCTTGTAAGTGACCTTTTATTATTCTGCATTTTACAGCTGAGAAAATTGTGATTCAGACTGGTTAAGTAGCTTGCCAAATGCTACAAACCAGTATGGTGGGACTCAGATTTGAATTCACATCTGTTTTACATCAGTCTAAAGTTTAGGCGCCTTTCCCCATGACATTTAGCAACACAACTAGATCTTCTGTTTTGAGTAGCGTCATAAATCTTCAGTATTCTGAAACCCTTCTGGGAAATAAAACACTTATTAGCTTAATCTCTTATTAGTCAATTAGTTGTAATAAAAACACCAATGAATTGAATAGTAAATCTATGAAAGATAAAGCTAATTTTCTTTTCTTTTCTTTTTGAGATGGAGTCTCTCTCTGTTACCATGCTGGAGTGCAGTGGTGCGATCTCGGCTCACTGCAATCTCCTGCCTCAGCCTCCTGAGTAGCTGAGACTACAGGCACGTGCCAGCTAATTTTTGAATTTTTTTTTTTTTTTTTTGAAGTGAACATAAACTCAAGGTTTTATTGTCTTCATAAAAGATGACACTTAGACCTGGATCACTTGGCCCTTTCTCTTCTTATCTCCTCCCAGTTCAAAATGTTTGCATCTTTTAATAGCCAGCATTCTCTTAGATCTGCAGTTGGGCTCAACGCACTCGAGCCTCAGCACAATCTTCTTTGTAGTCTTAGCCTTTTTCCGGAAAATCGGCTTAGTTTGCCCACCATAGCCACTCTGCTTTCTGTCATAACGCCGCTTTCCCTGGGCATACAGAGAATCTTTGCCCTTCTTGTACTGTGTCACTTTGTGGGGTTGGTGCTTGCCACACTTCTTACAGAAAGTCCGGCGGGTTTTAGGAACGTTGACCATTTTTGCGTGAGCGCTACCGGCACGGAAAGAAAGAGCTAATTTTTGTATTTTTAGTAGAGACAGGCACTACCACACCCAGCTAATTTTTGTATTTTTAGTAGAGACAGAGTTTCACCATGTTGGCCTGGCTGGTCTTGAACTCCTGACCTTGTGATCTGCCCACCTTGGCCTCCCAAAGTGTTGGGATTGCAGGTGTGAGCCACTGGCTTGGCGTTAATTTTATTTTCTTTTGTCAACTCTAATTCACCTTTGACTTAGATCAAATTATTTAACCCGTCTAAGCCTTATCTCATCATTGGCAAAATGGAGTTAAATGTGTTTCTCACAGGACTATACACACACACACACACACACACACACACACGCACACACATGGGGCAGAGTTTTGCTTTTGTCACCCAGGCTGGAGTGCAATGGCATAATCTAGGCTCATTGCAATTTCTGCCTCCCGGGTTCAAGTGAGTCTCCTGCCTCAGCCTCCAGAGTAGCTGGGATTACAGGTGCCCATCACCACACCAGGCTAATTTCTATATTTTTAGTAGAGATGGGGTTTCACCATGTTGGCCAGGCTGTTCTTGAATGGCTGACCTCAGGTGATCTGCTCTCCTCGGCCTCCCAAAGTGCTGGGATTATATGCATGAGTTACCACGACCTGCTGACACAAGACTATATTTTATGGAGGAAATATTTACTTGTGTGTGTGTGTGTGTGTGTGTGTTTTCAGGATGTCAGGCACATAGTAGTTGTATAATAAATATTAGCTACTTTTCCTCTTTTCTTTTTAAATTTTGATTTTGAGTCTTACCAACAAAACAAAACAAAAATCAAAAACAACATATTAGATTTTTAAAAGCATATAGGCACAAAAGTTATAAAATCAATTTTCAGTAGAAACTCAAATAGGAGAAAATCCAGTACAGTGTGAAACAATATCCAAGTAATTACGTTTCTTCACAATCGATTATGAACAAAATCAGTTTTAAGCAAAACTCAGTGGATTGGCATTGATACGAGTTCTATCTGCTTTTAATGCTGGATACAATCCAAGAGCATTTAGTACAACATCTTCATTTTACACGTGAGGAAGTTGAGATTTAGCTCCCTGTGGATGACCCTGAATGTGTTCCTCATGCCTTCACTCAGTGCTTCTTGCAGTGCACTCGCAGATCTCCATGTGTTCATCCCACACAGGCATTTCAGAATCCATTGGTTTGAACTGGTTTGTGCATTCTGCATATGAGATGATTGATGACACCCATCCTCTTGCAGTTGCCTGGGCTTGTTATCTTAGCCTTGCCCTGTGACTATCCTCATTCTCACTGTGGCCGCTCAATGCACTGCCAAGCCCTGCAGCCCCTCCTCTTGCTGCTTTGCTCACTGTTCTTGCTTCCTGTTGGTCTCCACTAACTTCTTCAGGCCAGGCCCTCACAATTTCTTTCTTGGCTAATTGTATTTTCACAACAACGAAAGTGCTACTCTCTGCTTTAGTCTCTCCATTATGGCTTTGCAGTAAGTGGATAAGGCAGGCTCTGATACCAGATTGCCTACATTCAAATCCTGACCTTGGGCCTCTTCTCTGTAACTGGAGATTATAACATTTCCCTCATGGTACTGTGAAGAGAAAATGAACACGTTATAAGTAAAAAGGGCTCTTAACACCTACTAAATCGGTAGAAACTACTCAGCCGGTCTACTTTACTTCTCCAAGTTCTTTTATCCTGCTAGCCACCTTAAGAACAATGATTTTTAGTCAAAATGGGCTGCTCTGAGTTCTCTGAGCATACCCTACATTTTTCCAGCTTTCTTTGGCCCATGTTGTTCCCACAACCTTCAGTGCCACTGGCCTTATTCTGTCTCCTCCAGCCATGATGTTGTCCTTCCTTATAGCTATTCTAGAAAGCAGTTGGCCCATATGTATGAAGAGCCTTAAAAATTATCCTGTTCTGGGCTGAGTTTGGCTGATCGTGGCTGGGTCCGTTTACATGATTGGGAGTTGGTTAAATGTAGACTGGTCTTGGGTGGTGATATGGTTTGGCTCTGTGTCTCCACTCAGATTTCATCTTGAATTGTAATTCCCACGTGTTGAGGGAGGGGCCTGTAATCCCCGAGTGTCAAGGGAGGGAGGTGATTGGATCATTGGGTTGGTGTCCCCCATGCTCTTCTCGTGATAGTGAGTGAGTTCTAACGAGATCTGAGGGTTTTTTAAGTGTTGGAAATTCCTCCTTCGTTCTCTCTCTTGCCTCGTGAAGAAGCTGTTTGCTTCCCCTTTACCTTTTGCCATGATTGTAAGTTTCCTGAGGCCTCCCTAGCCATGTGAATCTGTGAGTCGATTAACTCTCTTTCCTGTATAAATTACCCAGTCTTGGGTATTTCTTTACAGTGGTGTGAAAATGGACTAATGTATGTGGCTTCAACCGGGACAACTGGACTCTCTTTTTCTTTTTTTTGAGATGGAGTTTCTCTCTTATTACCCAGGCTGGAGTGCAATGGTATGATCTCGGCTCACCACAACCTCTGCCTCTTGGGTTCAGGCAATTCTCCTGCCTCAGCCTCCTGAGTAGCTGGGATTACAGGCGCGCACCACCGTGCCCAGCTAATTTTTTGTATTTTTAGTAGAGACGGGGTTTCACTTCGTTGACCAGGATGGTCTCTATCTCTTGACCTCGTGATCCACCCGCCTCGGTCTCCCAAAGT